CCCCCCCCCCCCCCCCTCACTCATTCCATCTCTCTCTCTCTGTGTGTGTGTGTGTGTGTGTCTTTAGGCTAGGCGAGGACAGGGAGCAGCAGTCGCAGAGGCAGGGGGGCGGGAAGAAGGGCAAGAAAAAGGGCGGCGGCGGTGGGCAGGCCAACCAGTTGGGCGCGCCGCAGCTGCTGGATGTGTTCGCCTTCGACACCGCGCCACCGGAGCCGGCTGACGGCGTCAAGATGTGGGAGTTCTTCCGTCCTCTCGCTCTGCGGCAAATGGGCAACTGCCAGGTAACCCCGCCCACACACAGACATCCATCCACACACTCGTATATGCCCTCTCTCCCTCTGTGTGTGTGTGTGTATGCAGATGGACCAGAGAGCGCGGGAGCTCAACGCGATCCGCTCGCAGATGGCCAAGCAGCGAGAGAGAGAGCTGCAGGTGGAGAGGCAGCGGCAGAAGGCCGAGAACAAACGCATCACCGAGCAGCAGCAGGCCGCCGCGCTGGCCAGAAAGCAGCAGCAGCAGCATCACGCGAGAGGAGGGCGGGGCGGCAAGCACTTCCGAGGCGGACGCGGAGGTGCTGGGGGAGGAGGCATGCACCCCTACCACCAGACACACCATGGCCACCACCACGGGCACCACCAGATACCGACTCACCATGGCCACATGCCCCGCCCGCATGTGATCCCCCCACCAGCACCAGCGCAACCCCCCAGCGCGCCGCCAGGGTCGTTCTATGACAGCTTCTCGACTGCGTCATATCCACCAGCCCCACCCGCCCCTGCAGCACACCCCTACCACGGGTATGGTGGCCGGTTCCCACAGCCAACACAGCCGCGGGCCCCACAGCCGTCACACACACAGCCGCCCCCGCCCCCCGTACCTGCACAACCGTCTGCACCCGCACCTGGCCCAGCACCAGCTGCGGCGATGCCCCCGCCGCCCATGAACGTGAATATGAGTATGAATGTGAATGGGCAGAACCAGTATGGCTATGGCGGCCAGAGTCAGTTGTACCAGCAGCATCAGCAGCACCAGGCCCCACAGCAGCATCACAATGCCGCTGCCTTTGCCCACGGCCAGTACATGCAGCATCAGCAGCACCAGAATCAGGGAGGAGGCTACCCAGGGTGGCAACAGCAGCAGCAGGGCTACTACAGGGAGTGACTCAGGGAGGGAGGAGCAAGGGGGGCATTTTTGTCAGCACACGCACACGGTGACCACGATTTTTGCTGCCAGCTGGCTTGGCGCATACAAGACCGAGGGAGGGGCACGTGTGTGTGTGTGTATGTATATTACCGCGTCGTAATTCGTGCGTCGGTGTGTGGTCGACTGACTAATTGAAGCGGAGGGATGACGTGTGGACTTGTGTGCTTTTGGTGTCTATTTTTCCGCGGTGCGTGCGTGTGCGGCGTTCCCTCCTTCATTCATACGATGAAAGAGGCGAGGGACGTGGTTCGGTTCGGTGCATTGTGGTGTGCGCAGCAAGGCAAGCTTGGAAGAAGAAAGCCACGCATCAGTCGCCTTGGTCCAGACAGACAGACACACTGACATCAGTGTCCATCCACAATCTTCTTTATTTTTGTGCCTTTCTCTTTCATTCGCTCATTTCTCTCCCCCTCTGTTTGCCTGTCTTTCTGTCTACCCGTCTTTCTCTGGCTGTCCCTCCCTCGTGAATGTACAGCCCCCTAAATCCCCTCCCCCACCCCGCTACACGTAGGTCTGTACCCTCATGCCCCCATGACCCGGTGAGCGAGTCAATTGTCTACGAGTGCGTCTATCTGCTCCTGTCGTTAGTATACAGGGGATGGAGGCACACAAGCCGGGCGGGCGGGCCGCAGCAGGTGGCGGGCAGGGGAGGGGAAACTGCCCGTTTTGATCTACCTCTCTGGCTGACTCACTCTGACTCATTGACAGTTTTGCAGTGGACGGGACGGGAAGGGGTGGGGGGCCCTTTTGTATCATGGACGGAGAGGCGTCGGGAGGCGCATACGTGCTCGCTGGGTCATTGGCTGACGGACACGGCTAACGGAGGATCGTATGTCGTGTGGCGTGTATGGTGTGGGGGAATTCGGCAGTTTTGACCTGGTCTGCTGTGATTGCTACAATCGATCGTAAACATAGCTCTCCGGCCGCGCCTCATACTGGCCTCATCATGGTCATACCACCGGAGGCCACCAACCATGGCGCACAGACCAGCAGGAACCAGGTAACCAAGTCCCTGCGGAAAAAATCACAGTGCCACCATATGCATCGTCATACTTCTCGTACATCGTAAATTCACGACGGTTGCGCCAATCGTCGTGAATCTACTCAGACGTCTTCCACTGAGGTGTAAACGTAGGTCGAGGCGTTGTGGCCTTGGGAGCGAGTGTGACTGTTCTGATGGCTGACGTCAATTCATGGGCCGGCATCGTCGCCGTGAGCGGCATCGGTAGGCAGGCGAGCCGCGAAAACACAAAACACGCATTGCAATACGTGAGTTCTCATTCCTTCGCTGCTCGATCGTTTGGTGCGTGTCTTGTTGCGTCTTGTCGTGGTGTGTGTGCGAGAGAGAGAGAGTGTGTGAGCGCAAGTGGGATGGCTGCTGTATGAGGTTGGCCTCGCCCTTATCGCCCTGACTGATGTGTGCTCGATGGACACATGTGATTGATGCGCGTGATGGATGTCGGTGAATGTTTCTGTGTGTGGTGAGAGAGAATGACCACTGCATCTTGACAATTGAGAAATTCCGCCACGCACACACACACACATTCAAACACATTCACACACTGCAGTCCGTCTGCGTCAATCCACTCCAGCCCCTCACCCTTGGCGCCCCTTCGTCTCATCCCATTCAGGCAGGCACACCATCCACAATGCATCCACAAACTTATCTGTCTGTCGGTCTCTCAAACAGCCATCCTGCCTGCCTCCCATCTGCTGCTCTGGCGTGGCAAGACAGGCAGGCAGACAAACAGGGTCTCTGTACACTCGAGAGTTGAGAAATGAGTCAGTCTACGGCTACGGCTAGCAGACTGCCAAACGCCACCTGTGCGTCGGCTCCCATCACCTGCTGCGCCACCCTCACTGTCTCGGGGAACCTCGCGGCACCCTTCTTGCCATCCACCGGCCGCTCCGTCGTGTAGAGTTGGGCGGAGGCATAGGACACGTAGGGGTAGTTGATGCTGTTGATGGAGATGTCGGCCTTGAAGGTGTGGTCCGGCTGATCGCCGCGCCGTGCAGCACTATCACGCGCTGGCGGCGTCCTTCCGCCGCCATGCTGCGTGTGCCGGTGGTGCGGCAGTTCCACACGGGCGGCTGCTGAGTGGCGAGCTGCCGCTGAAGAGAAAGTGAGATATGACAATGAGTGAGTGGGGCAGCTGGTGAGGCAATCGTGTGTGTGTGTGTGTGTGTGTGTGACTGACGAGTCGCTCGTAGCCTGGGGTATCCCTGTGCTGCCAGACATCCTGGGCCGCGACTCGCGACTCTCCCCATGGCAGAGGACGCATGGATATCCTGATCAGACACACCATGGCAGAGCGGTGCAGCCAATGTGTTCGTGTGTGTCATTCTGGTCGTTTTCCTCACTCATACAACACAGCGTCGCGAAGTGAAGCATAGGCAAAATCTGCCAAGAGCCACACACAGCCAGACGATCTGTTAGTTTTAGCTCTCCCTTCCCCTCCCTCACCTTCAATCTCACACACGGGCTTGGCCGGGTCGAAGATATCGCGGAAGTGGCTGTCGGCCGGCAGCGTCTGCAGTGTGCGGATGGTCAGCCGGCACCCATTCAGCCGCTCCTCGCCGTTGTTGTCGCGCTCCAGCCTCACACCGAGGTGGCGCTGGATGAGTGACAGCTGCCGCATCGCCGCACACCGCCCGTCGAAGACTGCCCGGCTGCCCACCCCCTCCACGTCAGCATTGCCCACCTCTATCGGCAGTCGCCGCTCCACCCGCCCCCGATGCTTGGCCAATCTGATGATGGGGACCGTCGCCGCCCAGTCGCCGCTGTGGTCGATGAAGTACGCCAGCTGCAGCAGCAGGTCGATGGACGTCAGGTGAGGGGAGAGGGCGATGATGCCTGTGAGGCCCTTGGCGACGAGCTGGCCATCCATGTGCTCCTTGACCTTCTCGAGCACAGTGCTGGTGATGCCTTCCCGGTTCTGGTCGTCGTTGATCTGTGCGATGAGTGCTTGTCTGGTGGGCTCCGAGTGGGCGGCCTTGCTGATCACCAGGGACCGCAGTCGCAGTCGTGGAGGGGTGGTGGGGCGGACGTGGCCCGATGAAATCAACATTGCCTGACGGATGAACCGAACCGACAAGAGAGCGACAGAGCCACCGTGGTGCATGCCTGGCACATGATCTGTCTGTGAGTGCAGCCCTTCATTCACCTGTGGCTGAGGCAGGTCGGCTACTTCAGCAGAAGCAGATGATGATGATCATGGCTTGCGCCGAGCCTCCACTCCTGACACTCCTGGACAGGGGAATCGCTGAGCTCGCAAAACCCTGCGTTCCAAACCCCAAACCCCAGCTGGGGTTGTGGCGTATTTGGTTTCCCCTCTCAAGTGTTGGGATCTCAATCAGCTAGGAAGAAGGTCCAAAGATCCATCACCACGAACGCTCGCAAAGATCGCCTGTGGATGCGGTGAATGTGTGTGCTGGTTTGGCAGATACGTGTGTCGAGGAGGTGTCTTCCGAGTCCGTCGAGCAGCGCCGCACACAGACAGACCAGGTGGATGACGCGTGTGCAGAGATCTGCTCTTGACTCATCCACTTCTTCTCATCCATCTCTATCTTTCACTCTGACGACTGGGAGCCCTGACGAGGGATGAATCAGAGGATCCTCATCCGTCAGCCCGCTGCAGCAAGGTCTCTCTATGACAAGAGCTCTTGACGCAGACAATTCATGGGATCGGCTTGGTGTGGTGTGCCTCCAGGTGACGGCAGAATGATTGATGCTGGATGGCTATAGATTTTGAGGAACGAGGCTGAGGATACGTGGACCCGTCGGCCATTGTTCATTGTCCTGGTCATGTGCTTGTGATGTGGTGTGTGCAGTAAGCGCCTGGTTGATCGTGTGGCCTGATGGACACCGATGACGGAGGTGCTGCAGGGGGGCGGCCGTGTGTCGATGTCAGTGGCTGCCGCGACGTCCTGCACAAGATACACTCGGTGAGGGACGAGGGGAAGAGGACGGCCCGCCAGGACCATCGCTGTGTTGGGATTGCCTGGCAGGGCGCCTCTCAGATTGCCTCTGATGCTGAGAGGGCAGAGCACATCATAGCCACACACACCGACGACAATTCACAGGTCCGCACGGAAACACCACACAGTCAGCCGAGCTGCAGCACTTGCTGGCGTCTGTTTCGGTGGTGCAGGATGGTGTGTCCCTCACCGATGCCCACTCGGCTTGCAACGAGCTGGCACAGATGTCCAGTGACCGCGAAACACACGTGGGGATTGGACGGGAAGACCGATGAATGGCTCACAGAGGCCGACAAGCCAGTGACGTCCGTCTCTCTCTTGGTGCGTGTTTGGGTTCATGTCAGCGGATGGAAGGCGACGGCAGGCTGTTCCGGTGCATCCACCGGGTGGGCGGTGCTGTAGAGAGTTTAGTGCCGGTCAGTGTGCACATGGATACACAGACACACAGGCAGACAGATGGATGGACCAGCATCTATCTGTGATGCTTTCTTGGTGATAGGTGCCTGTTGGCGACGGAGGCAAGCGCGCGTGTGTAGCTATCGAATCGGCTGCTGCAGCTGCTGCAACTGCGAATAGCAAAGGTACACCAACCACACAGGGGTGAAAGTACTGAGAATCCCTTGGTCGGTCGGTGGATGTCTGCGGTGCTGCAGCAGCGACACCGAGGCCGATGAACAAACCAAAGGTGACACGAGAAATGACCACCACCATGACTGCCTTTACCAATGTGCATGTCTTCATGTGTGTGTCAGAAATACGGCCGTCCGTGTCTGTGTGGTCTGCCTGGTCGGTCGGTTAAGGGTTTGACGAGACACCTGTCCTTAAGCCCCGCGCTACCTTCCGGCGCAACCAGGCATCTTCTCTGTCCACAGAACACACCAAACAGGCAACAGGCACACGCAGAATGCATGCACAAGGCAGCTGCTGGTCTGACTGGTCAGCTGAGGGCTGACGAGCTCGCACCAGTGGCCCGAGGCGATCGGGAGAATAGAGAAGGGAGGGAGGGGAGGGAAGGGAGAGAAGGGAGAGATCAACACCTCCAACTCCTGGCTTTCGCACCCGAGCATCAACCACTCGATTGCCCATCAACACCCATGGCTCTCTTCTCGCGCCTGACGCTCTTCGTCCTCGCCGCTCTGCTGGTGGCGGCATGGACGCCCTCAACCACCATGGCCCAGCCACCCTGCATCACGACTCCTGCGCTCGCTTCCACTACTGCTGCTCCCACTGCTATTGATGAAGCCGACAACGCAATGGGGAGTGTGGATGAGCTGCTCGACGACGAGGAGGACGCCCTGGTCGATGCCGACGAGGCGGACATGGAGGATGACGAGGATGATGACGAGGAGGAGGAGGAGCAGCCTCTGACGTCGGGCAACCTGCGTGCCCTTCAGCGAGGTTAGCAACCACATGCAATACTCCCACCGTTTTTCTGACCAGACAGACACTGAGCATCATCCCTATCCCTCGGTTCTGTGTTGTGTCGTGTGCAGGCCGTCGTCGTGGGGGTCGTCGTGGTCATTCGGGCCATCGTCATGGGGGCCGCTGGGGCCGTGGTCGCTGGGGTCGTGGTCGCTGGGGTCGTGGTCGCTGGCGTCGCGGTCGCTGGGGTCGTGGTCGCTGGGGCCGTGGTCGTTGGGGCCGCCGGCACCACCACCATTACCGCCACCACCATGACTGATGTAAGTGAGACTGAAGGACACCGGGCGTCCATGTGTGTGTGTTGGTTTCTTTCAGGCCACCGGTCCGATTGAGCCACTCGTCTGCCTGTGGTGTGTGCGTCACTGTTCTTTCATTAAGTGTGCAGAGAGAGACGTGTATGTTCATTGTGTATGTGTGTCTAGAGCCTTCCTTGTTGTGTGTGTGATGCGTCTGCACTGCATAGTCCGAGGGCGTCTGGTGCGGTGTGTGTCCTGCCCTTTGCCAGCCTGTCAGTGCATTGTGAATTGTGTTCTTGTTTCTGACTTCACCATGTAGATGGGTTCGCGCGTGGGGGAGGGAGGGTCAAGGGGAGAAGGGGCCAGGGAAACACCGGGTTTATATCATAAGGGTGTGGTGTGCTTGTGTGCTGTGTGGGCTGAGAGAGGGGTGGATATTCCCTGGTGTGGGTGTGGGTGTGTGTGGATGTGGATGTGGCGGCCATGATGACATGGCCATCACACGCACACCCACACACCAGTCGTATACACACATTTGTGTGCCACTCACTTCACTGGGGATGGGTAGTAGCCCTATCTGTCTGTCTGTCTGTCTGTTGTAGTGCATTTCTGTTTTACGTGGGAGGGGTTTTACGTCGTATACGGTCATTTGTCACTCACTTCAATGAGTGTTTTAGTAGTGCCCTGTCTGTCTGTCTGTCTGTCTGTCTGCACAGTACGCAGCACATACCTTTGTCCTGTATTTGTAGTGCATTTGTTTCACATACAAGGTGACCGACACACAAGGGGACACGAACGAACGAACGAACGATATCACCATGAATCGTCACGACAAACATGGAATCAGAAGCCGTCGGTTCATTCGGTCTATTTACAAACAGTCGACCGACACATACCAAGGCAGCAGCGGTAGCCTGTCTGCATCGCATCGTACCTGGTCGACCGTGAGCGGCCATCGGTCGACATGTGAGGGACAAGGGAGGCAATAGACAGGCAGAAGCCACACTGTCGTATCAGTGTCAGCAGCTACCACACGGGCAGCTACCACATTTGTTTGCTCGTCTTAAGACGACGTCTGTGTACGTACAACTAAGTAATGATCACACACACACACACACGCAGGCAAAGTCACATCTGCAGCGACACACGGCAGCCATCAAGAGCAACATGTCAGCACGTGGAAAGCCCCGAGCCGCAAGCAGAGGCAATACAGGACGACAACGGAAGAAAAGGCAAGTACATGCAGACGGAGACATCCACAGCGTTAGCGTGGCACAAGTCAGGTAAGGGGAGGCAAGGAACAAGTCAGAGCTCTGTAGCTGAGCTGCAGCGGTGGATACACCTCAATTGTCGACACCTGACAGGCATAATTGACAAGATATGGAAGACGACCATGTGTCTCCATCTGTATCTGCCCGACGCACACTCACATGTTCGCCCTTTCTGTGCCTTTGTGACTTGGATGCTGACTTCGATGCCGCCCCCGGCTGTGTAACCAGACCAAAGACCCTGCACACGTAAGAAGGCAAAACCTCTCTCACTTCACAGCATTCCTTCGATGTATTCCTCACTTTTCCGCAAGATTAAGGTTCGGCACTCTCGGTCTCTTGCTCGTGCGCATCAACGACGTCTCACCCTCACTGACACCGGTAGAGCGGAGAGACTGCAACCGGCCTCTGTGTCTCTCTCTCTCTCTGTTCCTCCTTTCTCTTCTTTTTTCTTGGGCAGTGTCGAAGCGCACGCGGCCCCTTTCAGTGATCTGAATGGGAGCTGGCTGCTCCTTCAGCAGTGGCAAGTTGCGGAGGTCTGCGGGGCAAGAGAGACGTGGGTGAATGTCTGCGTGTGCATATACATGCTGACGCACCTGGTGGGATCATGTCCTTGTGTCCGAACCGCTCCTGTTTGAGAACGGGTATGCCCTGGGCGCGCTGCTCCTCCAGCAGCGCGTCGAACATGTCTCCCAGCTCACGCTCCAGCCGCCGATCGGCCAAATCACGAAGCATGGCCTGGCGGGGAGACTTGAGCTGAATTTGTGCCCGCACGAGACGCGGCGTGATGGTGTTGGAATGACAGATGTCTTTTCCCCTCCGTCCATTGTCGCAGACCTGGTTGATCGACGCTTGTGTGACGGATGAGGCAGACGACAGGTCTCCTGTCGCCGTGCTCGCCCCGGGCGAGCCGACACCGTCATGTACATCCGGCTGTTCTCCTTCCTTGTCTTCCTCTGCTGCTGCTTTTGTTGGTTGTTCCGGTGCTGAAGGAGGTTGTTCGGCAGCCGGCTGGTCGTCCTGCTCTGGCTGTGGTGGTGCCTGGTGGATCTTGGCGGATGCCCGGGCCCAACTCGCTTCCCTCGGCTCCTTGATGTGGTTGTCAATCCGATACTTGGTGCGACGAAACAAAAGGGGATGAGTGAGTGTTCTGCCGCACAGACACATACTCAGAGATAGCATGTTGGCAGCGATAATCGGCTAAATGTTGCTCTCTCACTTGAGCCTGAAGGGCTGTCGTCTCCTTCGCGTTGGTTTCTCCCCATCAGCATCTTCGTCCGCCGGCCTCTTGCCCTCATAGATGGCCACGTCAGGCAGCACCGCCACCAAAGAAAGAATCCGGTAATCATACCACTTTCCCAGCGATGACACGGCTCCGTCCTTCTTGATCAGGGCCGGGCCGCGGAGAGGTTTCGATTTCTTGTCCTTGCCCGCCTTCTCGTCCGGCGTGTTTGCCTTGATGAGTGGGACCGACGGGACCAGCCGACGTTCTCTCGATGTGATGGTGCTGCGAGCAGTGCTCGAGCCCGGACGCGATTCAACCATCGTGATCATGAATGATGTACTTACACAGACGTCTTCCACTGGCTGGTTGGGTATTGTTTTTAACGAGCGGTTTCACGGAATGACAGCGAGTGCGTCTGGTCGTTCCTCAGTGCTCTTCCGTGTCATTTGTGGAATGTACAGCCGGAGAGACAGAATATGCCCCTTCGCGTGAATCGGTGCGTGCAAGGCCGGATATATTACAGTCGTGTGTGTGTGTGTGTGTGTGTGTTCGCATTCGACGCGATTACGTCAGCTGACTTACGATGAATGAATGGCATTTGAGTTGTGCGACAGACAATGCTCGTGTGCTGTGGCGATGGGTGTCGCGAGCCGCGCGCGTGTGCACATCTCGCTCTCATGCATACAATTGGGCACATGTGTTAGTCATACCATCATGATGTCATTCACTTGACGTGATTGTCGGCACGGCATGTGTCTCTCGTGGGTCTGTCTCTTGTCCCTCCCATCCCATCCCCCCCCTCCCCCCCGTCATGGAATGGATATGCACACATGGACCGCACACACGCACACACACATATATCAGATGCAGTGAGTGCAGCCACTTGTTAGCTATTAACAAAGAATCATCACAGCACAGCACAGCACAAACAAACAAAGACAACGAAACACTCAGGCAGGGCACATCACGTCAGATCGCGTCAGAGCTCGGTGCACCGACGACTTGACAAAGCACCGATATAACACACACTAACGTACGAGCGTATGCACAATGAGAGCTATTCAGAGAGAGAGACAGACAGAGAGAGAGAGCTGTTTCATTCACACACAACGAAGGGCAGATGCAGCCGACTAGGCTGCGCGAGACATTGA